TGTTATGATTCTAATGTTTTTCCTTTTCGAGTCATCCCCTAGCTTTCTGATTCGCCTTAGAGCTATTTTGAGGACTTTTCCCATTTTTTGTTGTTGCCTCTAAGATTTCTGCTGCTCATCTTCAAGATGAGTTTTTAATTTAATCTATCAGATCCTTTATTTATTACACTTCTTTTTGTAGCTTTCTTATTTCTGCTCTCATTTCTTCCTTTATTTTCTCGGCTCTCCCATTCTACTGTTTCTTTCATTTCTTCCTTTAATTTTCTGGATGTCTGCTCCATTGATTCTTTGAGTTCCTTGAACATCCTCAGAATTTCATCTGGAATTATTTATCAGTGAGTCATATTTGTGGGTAACTCCTGTTGAGGATTCAGGACTTTTTCTCCGTTCTCTCCTCGTAGTGGAGATTTGGGCTGTTTCCTCATGCTGTTGTGGTTGTATAGAAACCTTCAAGTTCACCAGTACTGTTCCCTGTTATTGTGGGAAAGGATTCTGAATAAGGTTGGATGATGTTGGTCACCCTTCTCCCCTTCTAGAATATGTCCTTCCTCTCAGACACTATTCTGTGGCTTATTGTAGGCATCTAGTGAAGTCTTGGAGAAGGTGGTCTTTTATATTGGTCTTGTACCGCTTTTTGGGTACACTGGTCTTTTGTTGGAATGGGAGTAGCCCCTTGGTTTATTGTCGTATTGTGTTTCAGGCATCCAGGACGTTTGCCACAGAATTAGGTGATGAAGTTTGGGATGTGATTCCAGAGTGCTAGGAGTTGGAAATTTAACTGTGGCCTCACTCGGGGCCACACCTACTTTTGAGGAGACCACGCCCCCTACAGTGGAGGCCACACCCCCAGCCAGTTGGATGCTAGTCCACAGACCTGTTGGGAGGGTCGACGGCTAGTTGAGCTGGTGCTCGCAGAGGAAGTGAAGGCAGATGCCCCTTGCCTGGGTCCGGGAGGCTGGTGTTTAGGGGCGAGGTTCTGGGTGGGTAGGGGGCATGCAGAAGCAGGTATAGACCTGTTTGGAGGGATGGTGGTTAGATGGGCTTTCGCTCACCTCTAACTGCTTACTTGAAAGATAACCTGGGCTGTAATTTTTTTCCTCTGGTTCTTTTTAGGTTCTATAACATTGCCCTTACTGTTTTCATTTAATTTCACGTAGTGAGGTTGGAGTGATAGTACAGCCAGTAGGGAGTTTGCCTTGCATGTGCCCAACCTGTGTTTGATCGCCAGCATCTCATATGCTCCTCTCAATCACTTCCAGGAGTAATTCCTGAGTGCATAGCCAGGAGTGAACCTTGGGCATTGCTGCGTGGCCCAATCTCCACCCCATCTCAAAAAAATTACATTTAGGGCTTTCATGATTTTAATTTATAAGAGTAATTTGTAGTTGTTAATGCTGCTTAAATTCTTTTGTAGAATTTTTTTTTCTTTTTTGGGTCACACCTGGCGATGCACAGGGATTACTCCTAGCTCTACACTCAGGAATTACCCCTGGTGATGCTCAAGGAACCTTATGGGATGTTGGGAATTGAACCTGGGTCGGCTGCATGCAAGGCAAACGCTCTACCACTGTGCTATTGCTCCAACCCCTGGGAGAATTCTTATCCAGTTAAAGTATATTGATTCATTTATTTTAGTCACCATGAATTACAATGCTGTTAATGATAGAGTTTCATGCTTACAATGTTCCAACAACACACCCTCTACCCGAATATCTTCTTCCACCAACTGTCCCCATTCTGACCCCCTCCGTTGCCCCTCTCTTGCCTTCCTTGGTAAGGTCAGTTCTATAGATCAACTCTTGGGTTCTGTTGCCTCTGGTTGTTATCCCTTTAATTTATTTCTTTATATCTTGCATATGATGAGAGTTATTCTGTAGCTGACAACACAGCTAACTTCACTCGACATGATACTCTACGAATCTATCCATGTAGCAGCAGACTGTATAGTTTTGTCTTTTCTCATAGCTTATTGTTTGTGTGTGTGTGTGTGTGTGTGAGAGAGAGAGAGAGAGAGAGAGAGAGAGAGAGAGAGAGAGAGAGAGAGAGAGAGAGAGAGAGATTCTTTATCCAGTCATCTGTTCTTGGACACCTGGGTTGTTCCCAGATTTGGCTATTGTGAATAATGCTTCAATGAACATAAGAGTGTGAAGTCTTTTCTGAATAAGTTTTGGGTCCTTGTGGTAGGTGCCAAGAAGTGGAATTTCTGGGCACATGAATATTCAATTCTTAGTTTTTGAGACTTGTTTCCAAAAAAGGATGGACTGATGGACTCATAGTTGACATTCCTATCCTCAGTAGATGAGGGTCACTCATAGTATAAATCTGAAAATCGAACACATACTTGATTGTGGTGCTTGTGTACTTAGTTGTGTTGTTTGGTGAAGTTGCACACCTCAGTGTACATGTAGTGCTTGCACATGTGCTTGTCAGGGTTAACCCTCCCACATTTCATGTTTGCAAATCTAATTGAGTATACCTTCAATCAATGCAGAACTTGTCAGGGATGACTTTCTCTGTCTCTCTGTCTCTGTCTCTCTTTTATTTCTGACTTTACCCATCCCTCTTTATCCTTCTTGTTCAACTTTTAATTATTATTATTATTTTTTGCTATGATCTATGACAGAAGTTCCCAAATTCCCAAACTTGTTGGCCTATAACTCCCTTTTCAGAAAAAAAAAAAGATCTCTTGTTCTCTTTCCTAGAAATTTGCCTTTTCTAAATTTTGTTGCCAGGGTTTACCCTTGACTCTGCATTTAGGGATCACTCTTGAAAGTGCTTGGGGAGCCATTGCAGTATCAGGGACTGAACTGGAGCTGACGGTATGCATGCAAGTGCCTTAGCTAACCTCCTTTTTAAGCCAACAAGTAGAAAGTATCTCCTAATTCCATCAAAGAATGCTACAACCCTCCTAGATAATTTCTGTGCCTCTTGGGTGGTGGTTGTCACACACTTTGGGGGAATACTAATTTAAGACATTCTTGCCTGAATGCACTTGGTTTTGCATAGAGAATAGAGGCGGGCCTGTTTACTTCCGAGTTGACTTACTATTTGGGTATGCCCATTCAGTCCCCAGTTTATTATGGAAAGTGTCTTCTGTAAAATTCTCACCTGTAATTAATGGTCTTGAGCTTGATATACTTTTCCTTTGAAATCACTGAACCAAATTCAAGTGGATATGTGTTGGCAAATGCTCATATTAGATTAAGAATAACTTTCATACTCCTTTTCTGGAGATAGAATCCAAGGTTTCACATACACAGAGATACTTTGTTTGTCTTAATGATAACTTCAGTTAATCTTTTGGGCTGGAGAAATAGTTTAGTGGTTAAGGGTTTTCTTATATGCAAATGACCCCTGCTTCACTTTATGGACCCCTAAGCTCTGTCAACAGTGTCCCCTAAATACATAGCTCATAATAATTTCTGAGCATATTTGGGCATAGTCTTACTCTCTGACCCTCAATATGAAGTTATTGTTCAGATCAATACTTTCAACAAAATTTTAATGATGTCAAGGTAATATTTTCCATATTCTTCAGCATTTTTGGAAATATTCAGTGGGAGAATTACTATGACTAATTTGGTCTACATATGAAAAAATTTTGGTAACATTTTCATTTTCATTGTTATATTCCAGTCTGTAATTTCTGCTTATGGGTCAAATCTGATGTGCATGAAGTTTAAAACTTTTAGTTAATCATGTTTTAAAATCATCTGTATTTTAGCAGCTATGTTTCTTTTAATCAGCCTGTGCTTCTATGTTTTATAGCTTACTTTTATTACTATGAGCTTGAGCATGCATTATATTTTCTATCTGATTATTCCCATGTTATGATCTTTCAAATCTGATTATACTTTCTGATCTTTGACTTTTATATTTTATTCTTGGTGGTGTGTTATATGGTTTAATAACTTTTTAAAAGACTGCGGATTTACATCAATTTAAGCTTGGAAATTCTTTGAGGTATTGATAAGCAAATTGTATTTTTTCAGAGACTATCTGTATTTATTTGTACTCTCTCTCTCTACATATATGCGTATATATATATGTATATATATATATTTTTTTATATTTATATGCTACTCCCGGTGGTGCACAGGGCTTATTCCTGTCTCTGTGCTAAGGGATCACTCCTGGTGTTTGGGGGAATATGGTGCCTGGGATTGAATCTGGGTCAGCCTCATGCAAGGCAAGTGCCTTACCTGCTATACTATCTCACCAGCCCTTTTGTTTAAAATTTTTTGGGGAGGCATGAGTGTATCGTGCAGTGCTTGGGCCTGTGTTGTTCTGTGACTGTTAGGGCTACCCCTGATAGTGTTCTCTACCCACAGTACTGGTGGTGGTTAGGTGGAGAGGCATGCAGTGCCAGAGTGAGCCCCAGGCTGATCACATACCACTGAGTGACGTCTGCGCTTCTATGGGTTTGGGAAGTACAGCTAGATGCAGATAAGTTTTGCATTTTTTCCTTCTCAAGAGTCAGATAATAGGAATTCACTTCTAAACTTGCTTGAATGACATTCTTATTCTTGAGTTTTCTAGAGAGAGATTTCCCTCCCTTACATTTACAATCCAGGCTAAGACTTACAGGTTTCCTGTTTCGTGGATGCTGGGCTCCAACTTTCCCTTTTACTGGGGTTATAATCCTCTGAGTGTCCTTCCATTTTACATAGCTAAACTTCAACATCTGTTTCTTAATTCTGCATTTCCCCCAGGTTTCATCCTTGTTTTTTATGCAGTGTCCTTCAGAACCAAAGCTAGCAGCAGCATGTATATTCCTCACTAGTTCTCTAAATTCCACCTTTTTCTTAATTTTTTTTCTTTTTTTTATCTTTCAGTTATTTCTCTTACTCTCCTCTTACCCCAGGGCATGTTAGAAAGACTTTTAAACCTTTTGCTGATTATTCGTAAGGACTTTGCCCTGAGATTGCTCTTTAGAATTTCTTGTCTGCCCCATGCCCTTAATGTTTTTCAAATGTTATTTATTAATGTTTCTTTTATAGGATTCAGTTTAGCTGCGTTTAAAAGGAACAAGAGGAAACTAGAGCTGGCAGAAAGGGTGGAAACAGATTTCATTCAACTAAAGAAAAGAAGACAATCAAGTGAAAAGGTCAGGAGGTGTTTGAAATATTAATAGTTAAAGTGTCATAATGATATCTTTAATCTGCTTTTAGATATATAAGCTGTAGGATAGCACTGTCCAGTGGAAATCCAACATGCACTTTGAAGTTTCTCAGAAGTTACCTTCAAAAAAGTGAAAAACAGGTGAAATTAATTCTGGTAATTATTTTATTTGAACTAATAAGTCCACAAAGTTGCTTTAAAAAATGCAATCAATGTAAATGCCATGTGTGCGAATTCTTTTCTTTTCTTTCTTTTTTTGGTATTAAACCTTTTAAACTAGCACATAATAATACTTTTATCTCAATTATGGTACTTAATTTTTATTTGAAATATTTTTACCTTAAAAATTTAACAGATTGACTGCCAGGAGTAATTTCTGAGTCCAGACCAGGAGTAACCCCTGAGCATCGCCAGGTGTGGCCCAAAAAGCTAAAGAAAAAAAACTTCAGCAGTTTGAAAATGTGGTTTTGAATAAAAATTATTGACACATACTTCAAGCTTGCAATAATGGATTTGAAAAACATTGACAATATTAATTAAAGATTAAAAATTACAAACTTATTAGACCTTGCCATATTTCAAATGCTCAAAAGCTCCATGTAGCTTTGGCCTACTCTTTTGGTTTTTGAATCCCCAGACATTGATTCATTTTTCTATTTTATGGTGGTGGCAGGTGGTGCTGGGAGCATGTTGGGAACCTTTAGCAGTCCCCAGTGATGCAGCTGCTCCAAGTATTTGTTCTGTTTGGGGCCTTACCCAGTGATGCTTAAGGCTTACTCCTGACTCTGTGCTCAGGGATCACTCCTGGCAAGGTTTGGGCGCTGGGGAGACCATATATAGTGCAACCCTGGTTGGCCTCATGCAAGGCAAGTGCTCTATCCACTGTATTATCTCTAGCCCCTGAATTTCTTGAATGATTAGTTCTTCTATAATCTTATATACTGATTCATGTTTTCTATCATAGTCTTGCATGATTTAGTCATACATAAATGCAGAGTAAATTATCTTTCATTATATATTTTTTCATGTTGCCATGAGATAGACATTATTTATTTATTAAATAAAATTTTAAGTTAAAGAATTGTGATTCACAAAGTTATTGAGAGTCGAGTTTTAGGTATCTAATACTTCAACACTAATCCCATCACCATGAGTAAGCGTCCCTTCACCAGTGTTCCTATACTCGATCCCCATGATCCCGCCCACACAGGCTCACTACAGAGTTTGGTAGTTGCAGCTTAGAGCACATGTAACTGAGTCTGTGCTTTTGGATGTATAGTTATACCACTCTCCTGCAGTACCTAAGTAAAACTGAATCTCCGACCCCTGTTCCCCCTATCACCTCGTTTTCTCGTCTTTTTTCCTTTCCTTTTTAATTCCTTTCCTTCTCTGTCCTGACAATTAGACATTTTAATCCAAGTAATTTTTATTTTTTTTCCAATCGGATAGCAGTAGGAATTTAGGAAGCAAATGAACTAATTAATGTGCACATATTGCTGAAAGTGTACTGCAGTGTATGGTTTTCTTTCTGCATTCATTGTGAATAAGGGTTTTTTAATTTTAATTTTTATTTATTTATTAAATTTTTATTAGTGAAATGCCATGAGGTATAGTTGCAGACTTACAAACTTTTGTGCTTGGGTTTCAGTTATACAATGATCAAATACCCATCCCTCCACTAGTGCTCATTCTCCACCACCACTAGTCCCAGTATCCCTCCATTCGCGACTGCGTGACATCTTATCAGAGCTTTTTTTTTTTTATGACATCTTATTGTCTCATTCCTACTTTGGACAAACTTGCAGGCTATCGAATGTAGCCTGCCCACAGGGCAGAGTCTGGCAAACTCCCCGTGGCATACCAAATATGCCAAATACCAGTAACAATGATGGGTCTCATTCTCCTAAAGAGCCTTGAATATAATCTCAGGGCTAGGATGAAAGAGACGTTACTGGGGCCTGCTCGAGGCAATCGATGAATAACAGGATGATGAATGAATGAATGAATATATATATATATATATATATATATATATATATATATATATATCCCCCTAAGATTGGTTACCTTCTACTTTAAACCTCATCAAATGTGGTGTCCTACCCTTGGTACATTAGTGGTATAAATGGTGGGATATTGCTTCAGGAATTCTAAGATTGAAAATATGGTTTTATACAGCAGATTCACTCATGGATGAGGCTCGACCCCAAGCATGTGGAGAATGGCCATGAGCATGGCAGCAATTCAGTTCTGTAGGTTTTTGGCTGCTGGGGCTGGCTCTGTTGGGGTGGGGAGGGAAATTTACCCGCCCTCCTCCAGCTTGCCCTTTATGAGACAGCCTTGTGTGGGGTCTGGAGGCATCTCTATGGGGTATCATTCTGTGCTCTCTTTCAAGAGATTTATTGCTAAGTCTCTGGATCATGGCTGTTAATGAGATTATATGGCATCAGAGGCAGTTTGTGGGTGTGACTGCCAGGTTGCCAGAAACACAGGCAGATGGGGGGGGGAGGTTGCCCATTCCTGACTCTGTTGAGCCTGGAGTTTTCAGTCACAAGTACCACATATCTGGTTTTTCTGCAGATTCACTCATGGGTGAGGCTTGTTCAAGCCTGTGGAAAGCAGCCATGAGCATGGCGGTGATTAAGTTCTGGAGTTTTTTTTTTTTTTAGGATTTTATTTATTTATTTATTTATTTACAGTTGTAGATTTACAAGTTCTGGAGTTTTTTGACTGCTGGTGCTCCGTTGGGGCGGGAGTGGCCTCATCCGCCCCACTCCAGGTTGCCCTGGATGAGGCAGCCTGGTGCATGGTCTGGAGGCATCTCTATGGCATATCCAATACAGAACATATTCTTTTGGGTATGTTTTATTTCAGAAAATGTTTTTGAAATAGTGTGTATCACTTGGTCTCAATCCATTTTGTTACTGAGTAATGTTATTTAATGGACTGTGTTTAAAACTGGATCCAGCAGACAATACTATATATATATATAGCACTGTCCTCCTGTTGTTCATCAATTTAGTCAAGTGGGCCCAGTAACGTCTCCATTGTGACAATTGTTACTTTGTTTGGCACATCGAATACACCACAGGTAGCTTGCCAGGCTAGCTTGCCAGCTCTCCGACTGGGGCAGAGGAATCGAACTCAGGTCGGCCATGTTGGCTACATGCAAGGCAAACGCCCTACCCGCTGTGCTATCGCTGCAGCCCATATATATATATATATATATAGATATATATAGATAGATATATCTATATATATATATAAAAATATGTTTCCCATCCAGGTTTGTGTTGTGACTGTGTGTACAGTTTATTTGCATAGTGACAGATGCATTTTTCAGAATGTATCCTTGCAGTTAATCAATGCATGCACATATACTATAATTTCTTTATTCATTTTCTTGTTCATGGTTATTCGGTGTGTTACTACTGTACTATTTGCCTTTTACTATTATAAATAAAAATTCTAGAAACATGCCTATAGAAATATTCTTTTCGTGACTATCAGTTCAAAATGTGTATACAGGTATCAGTTTATCTCATGGAGAATCTCTTTAGTTCGCCTTATTTAGAAGATTTTTATTCATAAAATATTTATGAAGCAGCTACTCTATACTAGGTAAGCCAGGTAGTGGATAGAGACAGAAGCATATACTGAAGTAATTTAGATAGTTGACATGATTGGTAACTTAAAGTAAAGGGAAAACACAAGATGATGTGCTATAAGAAAGAGGACTTCTTTAATTAGTGATCAACAGAGACCTCTCTGAGGGCAGAACATATTCAGCGACATCTGAAATATAAGCAGTGAATTTTATGAAGAATCTGTGGATGGGTGTTGCAGACTAAATGAACAGTGGAGAGGATGTGATATATTGGAGAGATGGAGAAGAGGGTCAGTGCTACCAAAGCTGCGAGGACGAAAGGAGAATGGATGGGATCAAATAAAGCCAGAGAGGTAGGTAGGTGGGAAATGCTAGTTTCTCTGAGATCTGGTTTTTCACAGGAAGAAATTTTAGTTTTACTTCTCTGAGAAAGACCAATGGATGAATAACAAACACATAGAAAAATGCTTATTATTAGGGAAATCCAAATCAAGATGAGAATGAAATATCATCTTATACTAGTGAGAATGGCACATATTGGCACAAAAATACAGGGAACAATCGCTTGGTGGGGACATGGTGAAAAAGGAGCCCTCCTCCTCCTCGATGGTAAGAATGTTGTCTGGCTCAACTCTTATGGAAAACAGTATGGAGGGGACTCAGTAAACTCAGAATTGAGGTCCCACATGACCCAGCAACTCCACTTTTGGTATCCATCCCCAAGACAGAAAAACGTTAATTCAAAAGAATGTATGGACACCACTGTTCATTGCAGCACTCAGTACAATAGCTAAGATTCGAAACCAACCTATATGTCCAACAACAATAAGTAGGTCATGAAGATGTGATATATAGACACAGTGGAGTACTATACAGCTACCTGTAAGGAATAATAAAATCATGTAATTTGTGCCAGCATGGATGGAACTGGAAAACATCATGTTAAATGATGTGAATTGGTTTAAGAATATAACTTAAATAAATAGATTTGTTAAATTTTGGGGGCCTCCTGGGGAGAATGTGGACTCTATGGCAGGGATTACCCATGGTTGAGGCATGATATTTACCACATAGGTGCGTCCTGGGCCCTGTCCACATTTTTTGTTACTTAGTGTGGAAGACAGTAAATGCTGTTTTGGAAGGATTGTGTAGTAGCATAAGTCAGTATCTGAAAGCTTTAAAAAATTATATATTTTACGGATATTAGCACAGTCCTCATAGAAATAAAAACAAAAGCAAGAAAATAGCTGCCTCATTTAATTAGACTATTTTTGTTTTTATCAGTCTTGACCATTTGAGTATACATTTTACTTAGTTTAAAATAAGATTTTATCTAAAGAAGTCATTTAACTGCAAACAGAAAACTGGCTTTGGCTTAG